GAGTTCATACTGAGAACAAAACTAGAACATTTTTCTTATTGCACATAACTGGGTTCTGAATTCAAGTAAAAAGAATCTGCAATCTCGCAGTAATATTCCTTAATTACCTCCGTTACATATCTTTATGAATTCGCTCCACGTTTGCAAGTGCAAAAAGCGAAGGAGTTGTAAGGGCAAATGTTTGACACCGGCCATTGGATGGCAATCACGCGAATTTGTTATAATATATAATTTTCGCTTTGTTGTTCAGGATTTGTAACATCGCTTTTTCATTCACGTTTTCCAACGTAAGCAAATGCAAGAACCATGAATTCTTTACTGAAAAAAAACCATTCTCATAATCTCGTTCTTTGAGAAAAACATGTAATTGGTTTTGGGGGAGTCACAGATCGTCCTAGGAATAAAAGATATAATCGGATGCTTCAAATTCCATTCATGTAACCCAGCTTAATTGCTTCCAAGGCAGGGCCTCTTATAAAGTCTTGCCAATCTCAATAATTGATGTTTCCTTATACGAGATTACTAGCACGTTCAATAGATGATCTAGAACTTCATACAAAATCAAACTCCAGATCAATTTTGCTAGCAGAACGCTGAAAGGCCTAGGAATACCTGGAACAGTTGAAGAAATTAGTCTACAGAGTTAAATCCAGTTTGGAATGTTGCACTTATCATTCTGAACTGTGCGTTAGTCAAGACAGTAAGATACTCTAATACAGAATCATTTATTGTTCCTCAATACGAGAGCGGTTTGCTAGCTATGATGTAGGCTTATAAGTGGTCATCGCCATTAGCCCATTCTCATCCAATGCTTCATAGTTAAAAAGTAAAGCTGGTTGCTTGCAAATAAGAGGTGCTCGAAAACCACCTACTGAGCTCTGTATAAACAGCGTTCAAAGATTAATAGGTCTTTGGTTGAATTCTGCTTACCACACAAGTTTAAGCATAAATTATCTAAATGTTACAGTCATTCTTCCCTCTCGCTTTGACGTTCGTACCTTCATCATCCATCATCATAATGTCGTTCTTCGGGGAAAACATAGGTGAGATATTTGTTCATCTTGGTAGTGTTCTTGGCATCGTTTATTTTAGGAGCCAATGGAAATATTGTGGCTTTACCTCTTACCCTCTATCCTGTAATCGATCCAATTGTTGTATTGTACTTTGTCAGTAGTTATCGGGAAGCGATACGGATGTATTTTGGATTTTGAGATATGT